CCTCAGCCCACGGGGGCACCTACAGGTGCTACAGTTTATCCAGCATCTCTCCCTACCTTCTTCTCACGCCCCAGTGAGCCCCTGAAGCTCCTGGTCTCAGGTGAGGGGCCCAAACCCTATTGGCTGAGCTGTCAGCTCAGCATCCTGTCCCCAGAAATATTATGGGCTGTAAGGGAGTTTGGGGTGCTCAGGATGGTCACCCCAAGGAGATCTTTTCCTTAGAGGCCCTCCCACCCCGTCCATCCACGTCCCCTCACCTGGATACTGAGGTAGTGGGAGGGCCTCAGGGGCCACAGCACAGATGGAAGAGGGTGTCTGTGTGAAATGGGGTCCAGGATCAGCCAAAGCCTCTCACCCTCTTCCTGTCCTCATTTCCAGGACCCTCTGGAGACCCCAGCCCCCCACCCACCTCCACAGCTGGTGAGTCCCGGGAGCTCTGCTCAGAGGGAGCACAGCCCACCCAGCAAGTCCTGAGAGTCTGTCAGGGGATCAAGTCACCCAGATCCTCAAGGACGGGCCTGTGTCCCAGAGGGGCTGGGAGTCCCAGGGTCTGATTCAGGTGATGGGTGGAGTGGTCATGGCAGAGGACGATGTCAGGGCGCAGGCTGGGGCGGTGAACCTGGTCCCATGTGGGGAGAAGGCAGCCCCCACCCTCCTGCCCCATCCTCATCCACAGGAGGCTCTGGGGATCGGTCTCCCACCCACAGGGTCAGGCATACAGATGGGTAAATGAGGGGCTCTGTGGGGAGGTGGTGGGTTCCTCCATGGGGGACAGGGGATGAGCCATGCGGTGGTCCAGGCCCTTCTGGATTTGCTGACTTGGACTCACCCTTCCCCTGACAGGGCCTCAGTGTCTCCCAGTGTAAAAGGAGAGAATCCTTGTCCAGAGCTTAGATTTCCTATCAGTTCTGGCCCTGACCTCCTGGGAGAGGGGCCTCACAGGGAAGCCCCCGGGACGTGATGTTATGGGGCCTGTCCCCTCTGTCTCAGTGACGGTGACACTGTACAGGGAGGGACAGGCAGGACAAGGGTTCGGGCACCCAGACCTCCCCCTCAGCTCAGGCTCAGCTCAGAGGAGGGAACAGGGTGGATCAGCCCTGGTGCAGCTCCTGGCTCTGCTGCTCCTGCTGTGGGGCTGGGCGGTCCCTTCTCTCCTCTGAGTGTCGGGTTCCTGTCTGCTCATCCCTGGTCCCATCCTGCTCACAGGCTGCTGGGAGATGAGTTGACATAAGGGCCTCACAGAGCTCAGGAAGGCAGAGCCCCCAGCCCAGCCCGACCTTCCTAGGGGACAGTCAGAGACCTGTAGGTGGAGAGGGATCCAGGCGAGACTCAGAATCCACCCCAAACCCTGCCATCCCTGTCCCTGCTGTGCTGGGGGCGGTATTGAGGAAGGACCCTCTGCTCCAAATGAGACATGGACAGGATCCTGCAGAGGAGGAGTCCAGAGCACAAAGCAGTGTCCACTTGGGATGTGGGCATGGGGGTGTGAGGCCAGCACAGGGAACCCACAGTCCCAGGTTCCAGTCCCTGCCCAGCCCCATCCAGGCTGGGTGACCGCTCTGAGGTGATTAACCTCTCTGAGCCTCAGTGAAGTTGATGGTGGTGTCAGCCATGCCTGGTGCATGACCGCTGTGAGGTGAGAGGAGATAAATGGCAGTCCCAGCATGTGCCTCTCACACAGTAGGTGCTCATTAAATGGCATCATTGGCTCATTCATGAAGTCACTATTGTCCTAGATCCCAAATGGTACTGGATAGGGGTCTTGGTGGCTTTGTTCCAGCTGCTCTCCCTTCTTCTCTTCCTCCTCCTCCGACATCAGCGTCAGAGCAAAGGCAGGACCTCAGGTGAGTAGGGAAGGGGGTGACCTGGGTCACAGGAGGGGGGCTCAGACACCTGCTACTGGAAACCAAATAGATGGAGAAGGTCAGCTGAGAAAAGGATTTCTCCAGAATCTCAAATCAGAAATCCTAGGAAAAATACACTTACTGTCAGCACAGATGGACAGAGGTAAGGTCATCTTTCATCCTTTTCAACCTCATGAATAGTAAACATTCTCACAAGCACTTTTCCTGAATCTATTGATAAGATCATGTGATTTTTATCCTTCATTTTGTTTATGTGGTGTATCACGTTTATTGATTCGCGAATATTGAACCATCCTTGCATCTCCAGAGAAAGTCCTCCTTGGTCATGGTGTGTGATCTTTTTAATTTATTGCTGGATCTGGCAACATGAGGATAAGTGACAGGAGGATTTCAACAGTAAAATCGAGGAGACGCTGTTCTGTCTCACTGTCTCTCTCCAGCAGAACAGGCAGGATGATGGCCCTCAGTCAGTCTGTACGGCCAGGGGAACTGCTCACCATCAAGACTCAGGCAGGGAATGACCACCTCTCTTCCTTTCCTATCAGGGGAATGTTTGGACATGAAGGACAGACAAGCAGAAGAGGACAGACAGATGGACAGTCAGGTGGGTCCCATCCTCCCCGGGCCCCAAGGCTCTCAAACCCCAACCATGTTTCATCCCTCTCTCTCCCCCTGCTCCAGGCTGCTGCATCTGATGCCCCCCAGGATGTGCCCTACGCTGAGCTAAACCTATTGGCCCATAGACAGCAGAAAAGTGCACCCCCATTCTCCCCATCAAAGGATCCCTCAGAAGAGCCCAGTGTGTATGCTGCTCTAGCCATCCACTAGCTCAGGATGGACTCAGACCACCACACTCCAGGGAGGGGTATGCAGGGACCCCAGTAGGCAGGAAAGCTACACCTCTGGACACTTGGCTAGTGCCCCACCAACCGTGGAGACCTGAGGTGCCCCTGGGACTCTCAGGGAGTCACCTCATTCTGTAGTCAAAGATAAGCCAATATCTCTACGTTTGGAAATCAAAGTAACAGACTTCCCAATAATCAACGTGTGAACAAAGTGAATGTTTTAACTGGAATTGTAATGTAAATATGACACATCAAACCTATGAAATAATAAAATTAAGAACCTTAAAAAATCAATGGGCTAATCTATTATGTCTAGGATTTAGAAAAACAAAACATTGTGTTGATACTTTAGATCCATAGACATCTAGATGATAAAGATGTGGCTAGTATGCATTATCTATAATAATAAAAGCATAATATGCAAATTAGACTGGACAGCAGAACGACCTTCCCAACATCAATCTGGATGAAGCCGCAGTGGCAGGGGCCGAGGCAGATGCAAATTAGACTGGGCAGCAGGCAGAGCGGTTAGGGGTGATCTGGATGAAGCCACAGTGGCAGGTTAGGAGCCAGTGGTCCTGGATGGGTGATCAGGCAGGCAGAGCTGAGGAACCACCACCCCCCTGCCCCGATGCATGAATTTCATGCATTGGGCCTGTATTGAAATATAAACCAACCAAAAATAGAATGAAATACTGCCATTTGGGACAACATGGATGGACTTAGAGGGCATTATGCTGTGTGAAATGTTTCAGACAAGGAAAGATCTCACTTACCTCTGGGATTTTTCACATCCTCAAAGCAAAGGAAACAAAAACAGACCCATAGAAATAAATAACAAACTGATGGTTGCCAGACGGGAGGGAAGGAAGGATGGGTGAGAAGGGGAAGGGAAGATAGTCAATAATAAATATCATATCTGTGTTGCACATCTAAAACTAATGACATTGTATGCCAACTATGATTTAATAAAAACGGTCAATTAAAAATGATTAGTTAAACAATAGAATTTTTTTCTAAATTAAGGTGTAAGGATGAAATGATAAGGCTTTGCATAGCAAAGGAAACCATCAACAAAATGAAAAGACAACCCACCGAATGGAGAACTATTAGCCAATACATCTGATAAGGGCTTATTGTCCAAAATTTATAAGGAACTTATAGAGCTTAACACCAAAACCCCAAAAACAATTCAATAAAAGAAATTGGGCAGAGGACCTAGATAGACACTTCTCCAAAGAGGACACATCCATGGCCAGTAGACATATGAACAGATGCTCAACATCACTAATCATCAGAGAGATGCATGTTGAAACCACACACCTTTCAGAATGGCTTCTCATCAATAAATCCACAAATATCTATGCCCCTCTATGATCACAGCAGCATAATTTACAAAGGCAAGATCTGGAAACAGCCTAAGTGCCCACCAGCAGATGAAAGCTATGGTATATTTACACAATGGAATATTGTGCAGCTGTAAAATAGAGAAGTAATTTTTACCTTTGGTGACAGCATGAATGGATCTGGAGAGCATGATCTGAAGTGAAATAAGCCAATCAGAGAAAGACAAGTTCCCTATGATTTCACTCATATTTGGGATCTAATAAACAAAATAAAACATAGTGGAGAGAGACTTGTGTATACAGAGAACAGACTGACAGCTGTCAGAGGAGAGGGGGTTGTGGGCTGGGGGGAAGGGCGAATGGATTAAGCAAAGAAATAAAAGAAAGACTCATGGACACAGACAATACTATGGTGACTGCCAGAGGAAGGGTGGGGTGGGGGGAGGTAAAAATGGGGTAAGTTGTGTGGAAATAGACTAGAGTTAGGATGATAAGCACACAATACCATGTACAGATGCTGTAGTGTAGAATCGTATACCTGAAACCTGTATAATTTTATTAACCAATGTCACCCCAGTAAATAAAAAAAAAATTCAGTAAAAAGCAAATACCTGTAGGCTGTTCGGAAATGTGGTTCTAGTCAGACCCTCAGCACCTGCTATTTTTAGGGTGAGAAGAAGGCGTCGCCTTCCTGTGAGGCAAGCACCTTGTGGACAGTGCGTGGGTGGTGTGAGGACCCTGCCCCACACATCCTGTGTCCTTCTCTGCTTGGCTCAGCCCCTGCCTCCTCTTCCTCAGAAGCACCCTGGTCCCCAATCCTCAGTCTCCAGAAGTGCAGGTCGACAGGAGCTGGATATGGACTTAGTGTTTCTGAATTTCTGCTCCTTGCCTGCTTCTGAGGTGACAACACATGAAGTGTCCCTCTCCTGGGAATTCTATGGCTTTGTGACTTACATTGAAGTCTTTTATCCACTTTGAGTGTACTCTTGTGTATGGTGTAAGTGGGTGGTATAGTTTCTTTTCCTTCTTCCTTCCTTTTTTTTTTTTTTTGCTTGTACCTGTCTAATTTTCCCAGCACCATTTATTGCAGAGCCTGCCCTCACTCCGATGATAATTCACAAAGTCACTAACCATCCGGGAAGGCAAGTGCTGGATGTGGAGAAGAGGGAGCCCTCGTGCACCGCTGCTGGGGATGCAGACGGGTGCAGCCTCTGTGGAAAGCAGTATGGAGGTTCCTCAAAACGTAAAAAAAAAATGGAACTGCCATTCGACCCGGTGATTCCAATTCTAGGGATATCATCGAAGAAACCTGAAACGCTCATTTGAAAGACTATACACATCCCCTATGTTCACTGTAGCATTATTTACAACAGCCAAGATGTGGAAGCAGCCACGTGCCCATCAGTAGATGAGTGGATTAAAAAGCTGTGGTAGGTTTACAGGATGGAGTACCACTCGGCTGTGAGAAAGAAGGAAGTCCTACCTTCTGCCACAGCATGGATGGACCTGCTGGTTTGTATGCTAAGTGAAATAAGCCAGTTGGAGTAGGACACATTCCATATAAAATCACTTAAATGTGGAATCTAAACTACAAAATCATTAAATATCTTTAATTTTTGTTGTTGACACTGTTACAGATGTCCCCCATTTCTCCCTTTTGCCCACCTCCACCCACCCCATTCCCCCTTCCCTCAGCCTCACCACACTGTTGTCTGTGTCCATGGGCTGTGCATGTATGTTCTTTAGTGAATCGCTTCCCATTCTTCATCAAGTCACCCCCCCACACTCCTCCCCTCTGGCATCTGTCACTCTGTAAATCCGTTTCTCTTCCTGTCTTGGTATATCTCCCATAATGTTGCCATTAGCATTCTTATTTTCTTTTTATACTAGAGGCCCAGTGCATAAATTCTTGCACTGGTGGGGTCCTTCAGCCTGGCCCGCACCCTCTCACAGGCCAGGCTGCAGGAACGGACCGAAACTGGCAGTCTGACTTCCCCCAAGAAATGTAGTGGTGCATGAAGTGGCAGTGACTGAGGAGGCGTCCAAGCCCCGGCTGGGCTCCACACCACTCCCGCTCATCCTGCCAGCCCTAAGCACCTGCTGCCACTCGGTAGTGCTACCATGGAGGCGGGAGAGGTTCACACCAGCACAGCTTTGCTCGCCAGCAGTGATCCCGGCTGTATGTAAACTGAATGGAACTCGTGCTGTGGGAGCCCACTGACAAACAGGGGACAGCTCCTGCCTTTAGCATCTGCCCCTGGTGGTCAGTGTGCGTCATAGTAACCAGGTGACCAGTCAACCGGTATCTGGGTAGTTTGATCGCTTAGGCTTTTATATATATAGACTAGAGGTCTGATGCATGAAATTCGTGCAAAACTAGGCCTTCCTTCCCCCATCTGCCAGCACTGGCTTCCCTCTGGCACCCGGGACCCGGGCTTCCCTTGCAACCTCGGTTTCGTCAGAAGGTCATGTAGAAGGACATGCAGTCTAATTAGCATATTACCCTATAATTATTATTATAGATAGCCTTCTCCTTCAAGATAATACCTTATCTTATGTATTATTATTGACATTATTACAGATGACCTTCATCTCTTCCTATATGCCCCCCCTCCACCCAGCACACACCCCACTGCAGGCCTTCTGCACACTAATATCTATGGCTTTGAGCTATGCATATATGCAGGTAAGTTCTTTAGTTAATCTTTTTCTGCCCCCTCCCTTCCCTGAGATCTGTCCAGTTGTTCCATGCAGCATGCCTCTGGACATATTTTTTTGATCAAGTTATATTGTTCATTAGATTCCACGTATAAGTGAAATCATGCACTATTTGTCTTTCTCTGACTGGCTTATTTCACTTAGCATAATATGCTCCAGGTGCCTCCATGCTGTCTCAAGGGGTAAGGGGTCCTCATTTTATCAAAGCTGCATAGTATTCCCCGGTGTAAATGTACCATAGCTGTTTACCCACCCATCTACAGATGGGCACTGGGGCTGTTTCCAGGACTTAGCTATTGTAAATACTGCTGCTATGAACAATCTTTCTGATTGTTGTTTCAGGTTCTGAGGATATATTCTGAGAAGTGGGATCTGCTGGGTCCATCGGCAGTTCCATTTTGAGCTTCATGTTAACAACTGAGGAATGAAGCACTAAAACCTCTGCTATGGAAACTTCACTGGGAGTTGAGACTGTTTCCTGATGGATGAGCAGCCCCAACGTGACACTGCAAAGTCCCTTCAAAATTGTCATCACAGGATCCAAAGGCCAGACCACATGTGTAGAGTCGCCAGGAACAAAGGAAATGATCCCCGCAGTGCCTGGGAGGGATTGGGCACCTGACCCCGAAAAGCCTTCTGTCCTCCTGAGCCCTCAGTTTGGGGAAACTCAGAGCCAGGCCCAGGGCGGGAGAGTCCGAATGCAGTGGGTGCACAGCTTGCGGACCAGGAAGGGCTGCAGCAGCTTCTGACCCACCACATCCTGTGCGTCTCTGTTTTTCCAGCTCTGAGTCTCCTCCATTTGCACAGCAGGAGCCGTGAGAGCAGACGCCATGATGTCCATCCTCTCTGCTCTTCTCTGCATCGGTCAGTTGTGGACATAAGGAGGGGCAGCAGGAGGGGTGGCGGCACCCCCTTGTTC